TTCAAAAAGGGTCACGTGCCCTTGAGTTCCCTCAAGCCGATATCGTATTTGTAGAACACGCACTCGTTTCACTCATCCATTATTACAATCCGCTGTTTCTGTTTGTGTGTTTTGGCGCAGTCGTTACGAGGAGTCTCTTTTGGTTTCACACACTTGTCCCGAGTTCTGAACTACGGGGCATTATACCTCGAAACAATGCCCACACCCGCAATCGAGAATCGAACCTCATCAGAAGTAAAAAAAAAAAATACAGCATCCCGTTTCATATATATATATATATATATATATATATATATATATTGGAATCACGTGGGAAAAAGATTTCTTTTTTTTATCCTCGCAATACCCTCAAGAATATACCACATACTTTGCGTAATCAAATTTTTCTTTTGCAAAAAATAAATTCTCCTTGTGCGGAGAAATTCATGTAATATTTTTAAATTTAGCAGAATAACAATTGTACACAGAAAAAAATAAAATCTTAAAATGAGAAGAAAATTCTTCTCAACATTTACTTTTACAATTTAATTTCAATATATGAATATTCATCTAAAAAATAGAGGATTCTTTTTTTTTTATTGAAGAAAATTTTGGTTAGATGATTACTTATAATCTTTCTTTTTCAGTTGAAAGTATTCTTTTCCAATTGCGAGATTTTTTTTCTCTAATTGAGATTATTCCTCTAGAAATATAGTTTTTTGTTTTTTTACGTACACCTTCAAACTGTTCAAAAAGTGACAGTTATGAAATAAATAACGGAAACCTAAGAAACCTTCTATGTGAAGTGGGACTAACAAATTACATCTGTAATTTTGAAAATAATATTAATTACTTATAATTAATAATGTTATTATAATAAATTAATGGCAATGTGTTTAACCCCTTTTCTTTTTTTGATTAGAATTTTTTAATATTCCAGTTAGAATTGAATTTTTCAGAATCATAATCTATAAATATTATTTTTAAAATATATTCATTTTTATGTAAATAAAAATAAGAATGAATATTTCTCTTCCATATTTTTATTTGTAAAAATGTTTATAAATAAATTTTTCAATTTTTGGAAGGATGGAAATAAAAATTATTATGTAAATAATTCATAAACTTTTTCACTTTCATACTATGCATTTTATTTTAAAATTAACTTAAGTTAAATGTATTTTTCATAAACTAAAAATGTTTGATATTTTTATTATATAGAAACTCGTGTTTTTGTCATGCTTCGTTCTCTAAAATGATTTCTTTCCCTATAAATAAATTAATCCAAGTTCTCAAGGGTGAACTAACTAATATTATTTCTTCTAATTAAATAAAGAAGATTGACACATTTCTGAACTTGACGTAGGATTGAAATGACTTATTAGAGATTATTCCTCTCAATTAGATATGAATACTTTAGTGCCCATATATAAGAGGAAAAAATGCGTCAAAAGAAGAGGAATCCTCTAAAATTAAGAACTTATTTTTTCGGTTGTATAATTATTATTTATAAAAAATATATCTCTAACCTTAGTCTGCAACTGATGTATCCGATGATGCATCGTTTTGGACGATAAGATGTGCCGGAAACACACGCGATTTAAAAAATTTCGAACACTCCCGAAAACGCACAATATTAAAAAACAAAATTTACTTTTCTCTAAAGATTTAAATGATCGTTATTTTAAGAATTTCGAACACTCTCGGAAAAAAAAATTTACTAAAAGACAAAAGAAAAATGTTTAACACTCCCGAAGTTATTCACTTATCAAATCTGAAAAATAATAAAAGAGAATATATATAGAAAATATTTTAACAACGACTTTTAAAATTAGAAAATTTACTCTTGCACGTTATGATCACGTCTAAACAGGTCAATACAGGAATTGCTACTGATTGAATTTTATTCTCTTTGGGGTGTTTTCAAACAATTCAATATTGTTATGACCTTTCAAAATAAACAATAAATAATTATCGGAATGCAGGTACAGAGATATACATTATTTACAAAATCGCTTTGTCAAAAAAGTACTTTGAAATTATAATTTTCAATTTAAATATTATTTTACTTATACAATATAAATTATACTTGAAGTTTTTAACTTGTCAGAGAAAAATGATTTATTTTTAGTTTAACGAAATCGTAAGGACAAATTGTTATTCTTAAGACTAAAAGTCGATTTTCACCTTTTTGTTCATTCTACACTGTAAAAAAAAAAATTTGATTCAAATAATCGGTTACTTGTCTATTATAAAATAAATATTTATTTTTATGTAAAAAATTATTACATATTTGAGTCAATATAATAATAAAGAATTTTATGTGAATCTGAGCAATTGTTTTAAAAAATTCCCGACATATTGGATCCGCAATATTAAGTTTTAAAAATCTGACTTCGGATTCGTAATCAGCAACCCCAAAAACTCCCGAGTTACGAGTTTTGGTCGTCGTGATTCTCCAAAAACAGGTTACTTTTCACAATAACATTTATTTTTTAAACATAGCGTTCTAAATAAATTTTTTTCGTAATATAAATACAGCAAGAGTAAGATGAAAAAATAACCTCAAAATTTATAAATTATATTACTTCAGTTTTAAATATAATTTTGGTCAATTTATGAATTTTTAAATTCCGAATAATTTTAACTAATTAATATAAGTGGAAATATAATTAATTAACATAACTTAAGATAAATTAAAATTAAACTAAATTTTTTGCTTTTGGTAATAATAAACATAAGGATGAAGAATAACTATGCAAAGTTTCATATTTTTTTCAATAATAATTTTGAAATTATTAAGTGGAGAAGTAAAAAATGACCTATTTATGGGGAATCACCCGTAGACAGTATAAACAGAATTAATAGGGAAATATACTCAGGGTTGGACACTTCGCTTTTCTTAGAAAAAGAACAGTAGCGCAATCTATGAACGGACGTGGCGAAGCTTCTCGTAGTGAAACCTAACTTTTTGTGCCATTACATTTTTGGAGGATCAAAAGCAGCGTCTGCTGTGACGTCGGTGCATTTGTAGGAACGAAAAAAGTTTTGTGAGCGATGTGATTAAACATAAAAAATGAATAAAGAAAACAAGAAATCGGCAAGGTAAGTTTTTTGCATGTATTTTGGGGTTCATGATTGAAGAAAAAATGAAGTAAAAAATCGAATCGCGAAACATGTCTACACTGAGAGAAGTTTAACGCAACATCTGCATTTTTTGAGGGACAGATATTGTACCACAATTATGTGCAGACGCAGTACTAAAACCGAACAGCAGCAGCGCCAATTGAGTACTGATTCTGACCTAACTTGTGGGACAAACGATTTAGTACAGTATCTGTCCACCAAAAAGCGCAGCTGCGATACAATTTAGAACCGATGTTGCTCGAAAGGTTAGGTACACTATCTGAACGTGTGTTTAGTACGAAATCTATGTTTAACTTCTCTCAGTGTAGTTATGGTTAGCACAATTCGAAAATGTTACTTCTACTTAGGGTTGGACACTTTGTTAATTATGAATTTGACAAAATTTATAAATAAATATACAAATAAACATTGACGCACACACACAGCACATATTCTGCCAAAAATATTAGCAAAATAATAATAACGTTAAAAATGCAAAAATGAACTTAAAAATCGTTTTCAGTAACGTTATAAATAATATTAATTGTCAACTATAAATAATAATATAAAAATGAAAAAATAAACATAATAAACGTTTTCAGTAACGTTATAAATCACACATAGCACGGCTTTTTGCTGTGAGGTTACTGTAAGGATATCTGTAAGGTTTGTAAAGTTACCGTGTGAGCCTGCAGTAAACTTGAGGTAATCTTAAAACTTCCACCTTACAATAAGCTTACACAGTAAAGCTAAGGTAAGCTTACATTGTAAGGTCGTGGTAAGTTTACATGGTAAGGTTGTGGTAAGCTTACACGGTAAGGTTGTTGTAACCTTCCTTTAAGGTTATTGTAAGGTTGTTGTAAGGTTACTGTAAACATAGAATGTTATTAAAAAATAAATTTTATTAATATTTATGCGCAGTAGTTTTCTATGGCACATAGGCTGCGCAGTAACTTTTATTTAACAAAGCCCTATTGGGGTTCATGAAGTACTTTACCAAATATATAATTTTTTATAAAAAAAATTATAATATAATATATATTATAATATAATTATTTTTAATATATTTTCATATTACTTTATGTTTACAGTAACCTTACAGCATCTTTACAGTAACCTTGCGGGAAGCTTACAACAACCTTACCATGTAAACTTACCACGACCTTACTGTGTAAGCTTACTGTAAGGCGGAAGTTTTAAGATTACTTCAAGTTAATTATAAATAGAAAAAATAAATTTTTTGACAGTAATTTATAAATAATATTTAGGTTTCAAGTAAATAAATTTGCTAGTGGTATACAGTTTGTAATAAAATTTCCCTTTCTTAAATTCATATTCAAAAGATTTTAATAGAATTAAATTTTTAATTTACCTAAATGTAATTATAATTTTCGTTTTTTATCAAAAAAAATTTCGGCTTTTACCCAACGGATAAAATCATTAAAATCAAACAAAAAAAATCCTTTCAAAATTTTTGCACAAGTTTTTTATTTTTGTAAAGAAGAAGAGGGAAATCTGAACAAATATCTTACGAAACGGGATCAATGATTGCACGGCAATTGAAAAGATTCATTAAAAAAAAAATGATGTAACACGAGAAACAATTTTCTCTTCAAGGAAATTATACGGTGTTTGTTGAAAGCTTTACAACTACTCTATATTTAATTGATACTTTTATATGTAGAGATATTAAAAGATTAATATCATACACTAAGTTCATATACACAAGTGGCAATGTTTGAATATGAATCTTGATAAAATGAATAATGTGTTTGATAACTATATCAAATTCTTGACGATCAAATAAAGCAAAAAAGGTGTGCATATATTTAATAGCATATTTATGTAACAGGTGTGTAACTCATCTGATCAGACTTCTTATATGGAATAGAACTTCCGTAGCGTGAGCAATGCAATTTTATTGTGAAAAAAAAGTTTGTTAAAATTCAATTGAAAATTAAAATATCTGTTAAAATAATTCTAGTTTGTTTTTTTAAAATTAGTGTAAATAGGATTAATAATAAATTTATAAAAGTATTTTTTGCATTAAAAAAAAATAATGTATTGAATATCATATAAAATCAATGAATATTTCTTGACTTTAATATTGTTGAAATAATGAAACTTAATTTATTTTCGTGTATTACGAATAGTGATGAGAAAAAAAGTGAAAAAGCGTACAGTTACGATGTGAATAAGCAACATGGGAGTCAAGCTTTACAATTTATTGCAGCAATCAGTGGTAATTAATGAGATAATTTTTTCATATTCTTCCAAGAGTATTAAAATTTTAAGACTATCGTCATTTTTATGAACTCTCCCTAAAATGAAATTAATTAAAAATAACTAATTGTTAGTAAAACCATGGCTGACTTTTTGCTTTAGTACATAAAAAATATTCATAATAAATTTAGCAATTAGTGAAAAAATAATTAATTATTAATCAATAAATAACTTTAAAAAAAAGTTAAATTTAATTAATCGTATAAAAATTTGTTGAAAAATATTTTAACATAATCTAAAAATGAATTTAAGTCGTAGTTATTTTAAACTAAATGATTAGTGGAAATATTATTATTTATTTTTTTTATCATTTATTATTATTATTTGAAATATTACTATTTAAATCACTTACTAACTTTTTGCTATAATTATAGAATTATTTTTAATTTTAACAAATTCATATTTAAAAGAAACATTATTATTATTATCGATGAATTATTTAACAGTCATTAGAAAAATGTAGATTAATCATGAAAAATATACAAAAGTATTAAATTTTATCTATTTACCATGAAATTAAAATTACAAAATAGAGTTACAAAGAAAAAAAATTAAATTTACAGATGGATAAATTTAATAAGAAAAAAAAAAATTCAGAAATAATTTTTCATTGTACATATTAATTATATATTACTTTTAAAAATTTTATAAGTTTAACTTAAATATTTCCGAATATTAAATGTTTTTAATGCACTTTTACATAATGCAATGATTTTTTAATTTTTTAGTATAGAAATATGAAACAATTTACCTTTAATTTTAAAGTTTTAAGAATTTTGCAACTTAAGAATTCAAATTCTTAGGTATTAATATTAGTATAGAAGATTTTTTAAAATTGACAAAAATATATTGTAGTGTACAAATATCAAAAATTATAATCATAATCTACTAAATTTGTATTTTTATAATTTTAACTGAGAGAACAAAAATTTTATTAATATATTTAACCAAAATCAGTTTGTCACAAATATTTTTTGGACTAAGGAAAAAAAGTTCTGTCGCACTATAATAACAAAATATGATGAAGTTGGCGTCGACACTCAGCGTCAAAAATTATTTTTCACGGGACAAAAAATATCAAATCATTTTTAAAAATGTTTTAGGTCCACATAATACCATAAAAAGTATTTCTTAAAGCATTATTTGGACCGAAAATAATAAAAAAAAATATAATTTGACATTTTTGGTCATGTGAAAAATAATTTTCGGCGCTGAGCATCGACGCCAATTTCATGGAAGTAAAATTTTTTTGTTATATTAAAACAAAAAATATATTTTAATTATAACAAAAATTTTAATACCTAAAAATTTTGTTATTTATTTTTAATAAAATTTTTTTAATTTGTTTTGCAAATTAATAATATCGACGTTTAAATATTTGTAATAAAAATTACAATAAAATTTTATAATAATTAAAAAATTTTTAGTGTAATTATTTTCGCATATCAGATGCAAGAGAATCACGCTTATTACTCTTCTTTTTATAAATAGACATAAGTTCATTCATTTCAAACTGCATGAGTATAATGTAATATTTTCTTATTTACATATATCAGCTGTTCGGTTAATCCTCTTTTCCTTCATAAGTAGAGAGATTATGAAAAGTTATTTATGAATGAAAGCATATTTAAATATACAATATCAAAAAGAAATTTTTCTTTCTTTAATTTTTTTTTTTTTTTTGATAAATAATTTTATAAATTTAATCATAATTTCTTCATTTATTAAAAAAAATTAAGATTTTAATTAAAAAAAATAATTTTGTATTCGAATAATCTTAGAGGCAAAAACTGTTAGGTTATGTTTGTGATTTTTGGATTGAAAATACACAAAGAGGATTAACTCTTAATATAAAGCACTGATATTTAAGTCTTATTAGATCCAAAATATTTAATAAAAATTTATTTTTATTTTACACAATAATTAAAAATGAACGTTTAATCAAGCTAAAACTATCACTAAACATAACCTAAAATTTTGTTGCCTCTAAGGTACCTTTTCTCGTAGCGTATCACATATACAAATAAGATTTTATCATATTAAAATCTTTCTTTTTATTATTAAAATTGACAAGAAAAAGAAAGAATTAAAAAAAGTAAAAACATTTTTAAGAAAATGATAAAAAAAAAATATTTAAAATAAAATTTGAAGAAATTATAAAAAAGTTTCTTATTCATTTGAACCTTCTCCGTACTTATATCAGGGTACAATCGCTATTCATATATCTTTCTAATTTATTGTTTGTATAATTTTATACATATTTAACCTCATATATTTAAGTAACCAAGTGTCATAATTGTGTAATATATTTTCAGCGTGCATCTCAGGAATTGGATTCGGTGCATGTGAAACATGGACATCGCCAGCTCTGCCGTATCTAAAGAGCAAGAAATCCGAATTTCCGGTCTCTGTCGTTCAAGGCTCATGGATAGCATCATTATTCAGTCTCGGTGGAATTTTTGGCTATCTAATCTATCCACTTCTTGTAAATCGAATAGGACGGAAAAATTCTCTACTTTTATTTTCCCTACCGCAAATAATTGGATGGATGACGACAATATTTGCAAAAAATTACATTACTCTCTATATATCGCGTGTAATCAGTGGAATTGGTTATTGTTCATCGCTTGGATTATTGGTGATTTATCTTGGTGAAATTGCCGACAAGGACATTAGAGGAATTTTATTATTTATTATAAAAATTTCCTATGACATTGGTATTCTTGTTGTTGCAGTGGCAGGTGCTTTTTTATCATATAACAAAATGAATTGTGTAATGCTTACATTGCCAATATTTTTCCTCGCTACTTTTCTATTTATGCCAGAAACACCATATTATTATCTTTTGCGTGGTAATGATAAAATGGCAATAAAAAGTTTAATGAAACTTCAAGGTTTCAAGAATTCCGATCAAGTTAAAGTTGAAATTGAACGAATGAAATTGGCAACGCATGATGAAAATTTACATAAGGAAAATAGTTTATGGAAATTGTTTAAGCATAGAAAACATCGTAAGGCATTAATGATTGCACTATGTGCTGATATAACTAAAGTATTTTCTGGCTATTTTGCCATTTTAACTTATACACAAACTATTTTTCAATATAATAAATCATCACTTGATCCAAAATATGCGACAATTATTATGGTGGTTGTGAAAATAATTTCTGGATTAATTGCCTCGCAGCTCATTGATTCTGTTGGTAGAAGAATTTTGGTTATTTTCTCGGGAATATTTGCATCAATATCATTGGGTATTGTTGGAACATTTTATTATTTACAATATTTGCGAGTTGATTTTTTACCCATGATTAGTTGGTTACCACTATTTGGTTTAACATGTTTTGAAGTGTTTTGCGCTTTTGGAGTGAGTCCCATGCCATTTGTATTGCTTGGAGAACTTTTTCCAACTGATGTTAAAGGACCGGCGACTGCATGTGTCACAATAATCACGGAATTTTTACTTTTTATTGTCACATTTGGTTTTGAGGTACTCAATAAAGCGGAGGGTATTTACACGAGTTTTTGGATATATACTGTTTGTTGTTTCATTGGATCGATAACATTATTTTTTGTCATGCCTGAAACGAAAGGTCGAAATCTCGAGGAAATTCAACATATTCTAATGGAGAAACGAAAATCTCCCAAAACGCCCGCACTCTAAAGTTATTAATTATTTATAATTAAATATGTGACCGAACAATGTAGTGGGCAATACATTTCTTTAAGTTTGAACAAATTTTGCAAAAAAAAAAAAATATATGTTTTTAAAATTTAATACCTTTTTCGGTTACTCTATTGTATATATCATAATAATGCGAATTTATAGAATTTCCGTGAAATTCTAATTAATTTTTGTAAAAAAAGTAAGAAACAATTTTCTAATCGAGCGATTAGAAATAATCCAATGATGAGTGATTGCATTTTTTCAATAATAAATGATAAATAAATAAATGTGTGAAAGAACAAATTTTTAATAATAAAAATCAAGAATTTGTGATGATGTTAAAGACTTCGCGAGAAAATATTTAGGATTGTAAATCTTGAAATATATTATATTCTATCCTTATCCATTTTATTAATATTGGTGACTAATAATTTTAATTGGATATATATGTAAAATTTATATATTAATTTTAAAAATATTATAATCTTGAAATAAAATTTCTGTAAAAAATAAGAATTTAAATAATAAAATTTATTAAAAAACAAAAAAAAATAAAATTTTAAATAAAAATTTATTTGCAAATTTAATTCAAAAAATTTTACTATCATTCCATATACATAATATTGTACTATTTATATTCTCCGAAACGAGAGAAAGACATTATTATATAGGAAAATTAGTATTCAAAAAAAAAAAAAAAATTAACACGCTAAATGCTTACTTATTTAGAAAACGATATTATAGAATGAATTGACGATTATCAAAAGAAAAATACACAAACTAAATGGTAAAATTTGTGCAAACGTTGCTGTTCCGGTGGGAGGTCGCAATTAACTTACTGCATAATTATAAAGCAGGAAGTTATTTTCGCGCATAATAATATTTTCACAGAATCTGGAATTAAAGAAAATCATATTCTCGCATAATTATGTAGTTTTGTTATTAGTTCTATGATTTCATCATACTGATTATAAATTTTTATCAAGTAAAATTTACATTTTAGCCGAATTTTTTTTTAATAAAAATTTATAAACGGAGAGAAATAAATATAGTACGGGGTATCAGTTACAATCCATATAATGTACAGAGTAACATCTTGATTGTAGTGGGTAACATAACCATATTTTTTGTAACATCTTTGATGGTAACGGATAAAATGTACTTTTAACCATCAAGATCTTAACATCTATTTCTCTCAGTGTGTATATATAATATATTAAATTGTCAAAAGTTTTTGTTTATTTATTTATTTATTTGGAACATAACGGGACATGCCCTTTCGTACAAAAGTACTCCTAAATCTAAAAATTACAATACTATATTTTGCTAAATCTAGGTAGCCACTTAAGAAATGATATTTTAGTTTTCGTTTAGCAAGATATTACGTAATGATGTTGTGAATCGTTTGACATTATTATCAAAGAAATTGATGTCGTTTGAAATCATGTTTGCCTCTCTGCTGAGTCTAGCAATCAATGAATTATTACCATAATTAGTTCTGTGAAATGCCACCGAAAACAATGTATATCGCCTAGAAAACATTCTGGGCACTGATAAATTTATCATAGAGAGAAGTGAAGGAAAAAAGATAGCTCCATTCATAAGTGTATACAAAAAAGCCATATCTGCAAAGTGGAACCGTGAATTTAACAATGGTATATTTAATACCGATCTAAGTTCCCTGTAATCATGTGTATGCAAGTCAAAGGGGATATTGAGTAATCTCGCGGCAAATCTAAGAAATTTGTTCTGAACACGTTCAATTCTGATTATATGGAAGATGTAGAAAGGTGCCCAAATGATACATGCATATTCTATAATTGTTCTGACAAGCGTCAGGTACAAAGTCCTGATGGTTAACATATTATGAAAAACTGAGGCACATCTCATTATAAAACCCAAGACTTTAGAGGCTTTTGAAACAGTCTCAGTAATATGATCATTAAATACTAAATTACTATTAAATACAACACCCAAATCACGCACCCTCTCTACTCTCTCCAAAATATGACCATCAATAGTGTAGTTGTTTAAATATAAATTTACACTACCTTTCGAAAAGGTTACAACAAAACTCTTTTTAATGTTTATACTTAAATGATTTTTAACACACCATTTTTGGAGTCTTTTTAAATCTTTTTGTAACTTCAAAATATCTTTTCGAAAGGTAGACGGATGAATCACTTTATAACACTTGAGGTCGTCAGCATAAAGTAAGAACGATGAGTGCCTGAATATTTGCTTTATATCATTCATATATAAAATGAACATTAAGGGGCCTAGGCGTGATCCCTGTGATACCCCAGAGGTTGCTAGAAAAGGATCGCTAAATTCACCACCAACCCTTACCACCTGATACCTGTCAGAAAGATAATTTTTGAAAAAAAGAACAATATTGTCAGAAATGCCCAGTGATTTCAGTTTATTTATAAGTATATTATGGTCCACCTTATCAAACGCCTTCGATATATAAGCATAGATAACATCGACTTGCAATCCCTTTTCTAATTTTTCTGTTAAAAAGGTTGTAAAAATACCCAAATTTGTTACAGTGGATCTACCCCTGGCGAAACCATGCTGTTCATCGATTATAGCTTCAGAGACCGATGTATAAAAATTATCATAAATTATACTCTCAAATATTTTTGCAAAAACACTTAAAATTGTTATAGGCCTATAGTTCTGGGTATTATTTTTATTATCAGACTTATAAACTGGAGTTATCAGTCCCTTCTTCCATTCATATGGAAAAACACAATATTTTAGCGATTTATTAAAAATTATAAACAAAGGTTCAATTAACGAATATCCACATGACTTTACAATGAATGGAGAAATTCTATCGGGACCTGGCCCCTTACTGACATCTAAGTCTTTAATTTGTTATTTAGTTTAAAAAAATTAATTAAATGAATGATAAATAAGAAAAAAATATTTCTTTGTTTAAATGAAAAACAATATTTTTTGTTTGAATTAAATAAAAAACAGGGAAATTTTTTTGACAGATTAAAAAAATTTTTTTAACGTAATTTAAATAATTTTTTTTTTATATAGATTTTTTTTGATGTTTTTTTAATGTAAATTCGATAGAGGAAGTCAAATATATATATATATATAAGAGAATCCAAAATGATGGCAATTTACCACTTGCAAAGACACGTGCCTAAATGAATCGCGTGCGCTATAATAGATCTTGAATTTGTACACCCTCGATTATTTTGCTCGCTCTATGGGATCTATAGGCATCACTCCCTCTTTTATATATATATACAAATCCCATTCAATTCAGAGCGTGGCGTTTATACCGATTTGGTGTTAATGATGTCTGTTATTGATATCTACCTTCTTTTTTTTTATTATGAATATATTTTTCACGCGTATAACAAAAAATTTAGGAAAAAAAGTAAAATGTATCAATGAAAGCGCCAATAAAAATTGTATAAAAAACAGAACAATTGTATATATATATATATATATATATATATATATATATATATATATAAATATATATATATATGAATAATGTATTTTTCACATTTTCACACAATAAAAAAGAAAAAAAAATTGTATATCTATTTTGATATTTTTAACAGTATCCTAATCGATAAAATATAACGATATTTAAATGTCAATTTTTGGTACTTATTTAAGAATCTTTCTTTTTTACTTTATAATTACAGTGAAAAAAAAATTTATTTGATTGAAATACTCGATTACTTGACTATTATCAAATAAATATATTTATTTGAACTAAATTATTTTTATTTGAATTAAATAAATTCTATTTGAACCAATAATTTTTGTATTTGAAAGAAATACCATCTCAAATAATAATTATTTGATACAAATAAAATATATTTATTTGATAATACTCAAGTATAATCGAGTATTTGAATCAAATAAATTTTTTTTTATCTGTGTATTATTGATGGAAAAAATTATTGATAAAAACTTATATATATATGTGACTTACCGATCGTTGATTTTTTTTTCTCCTCCACTTGCATTTTCACTGATAAATGTCCAGTGGTTTAATTTTTTGATGTTTTTTTTTTATCTATTGTTCAAGAAATTAGTAATTTTTCTTTTTGTATTTCAGTAGCCTGTAGGTAGATTACACAGTCTACATTGTTGAAAGGCATAGTATCAGATTCGCGAATCGGGCCAATCTGCAAGTAAATGACCAAAAACATAATTAGTATATTTATAATGGCACAAGAAACTAGAAATTAATTATAAAATAGATCAATACTCTCTAAATTTGAATTATAGTGAGAATTCGTTCTTTAATTCGAATTAGTATAGAAATCACTAATTTTTAGTAAAATAATTATACTATTTTATTAAGTGAATTTTTTTTTTTTTTTACTAAATTTGTAGTAAAAAATGACGATCTAAAAATGAATTAAAGTTTATAAAAGTATCAAATCGCCGTGAATTGAGAAAATTAGTGGATCAAATACGGACAAGTAAATGATTTTCTTGAATCAATATGATACTTTTTTTCAGTATATATATTAACATAAAATATTCTGTCCCAACTTCGTGTCACAATTGGTGTACTGTATGAAATTAATATTAAAATATTTTTCGAAAAAGCGTAATTTTTTTTTTTTATTGTAAGGACAGGTATAATTATTATATGTATATGTGATTATATAAATCGAAAAGAAACAGGACCACCCAAAAATTAATATATGATCATTTCCAAACTTACTGTTATAGTAAATTTCACACGCACGATAATTTTAGAATTTGTGTTAAAATGTTGAATCAAAAAGACGACACATTTATAAGCTACTTTATTGAGGTTTAGATATGGGAAAAGTCTTGATTTAAAAAAAAAAAAAAAAAATTATAGAAATATATTCTCCAAGAAAAGGCGATTATACTAAAATTCCTATTCTTCATATAAGTATATTTCTTTTTTCCTTCTGGCTTTTATTCGTCGATTACCACGGTTTCATAATGATTCTTGTGGGCTTCTCTTCCATTTGGATGTTTCTCTCTCTCTCTTTTTCTCCTGTCGTCGCCCATTGAGATAAAAAGATCCGTTCCTCCCATACCTTCCAGGTTATAACGCTTTCGCACCTGTGACACCGTGCCTGAATGTTTCAAGCTCTAAACATTTTGATTTACGAGCCATTTACACATATTGAGCCTCATGTGCTTGGAAACCGGCACGTTTAATGCCTTTGGCGAGTGGCCATTCCTATGGAAATGTCGTGGACTTTCAAATCTCATTTTATCTGATATCTTATTATACTCTTATTTTAGTCTCCTCGTCGTCGTCGTTCTTTTGCTATGGATGCTGCACTCTCGCACACATTGCATATATATATATATATATATATAAAGGATATTCAAAGACAAGTCGCGGAAGGTCTTCCGTTTATTTTTCTTCTTCTCCA